AGCACGATTCAGTACTAAAATTGTGGACTTAGTAAGAAATCTGCACCTTTGAACTGTGTGCGTTACTGGGAGATGACATTATTGAGGGGTCGGTTCAGCTAGTACCTGTCTCGCAGTCACTATGAGCAGCATTCAACGATGTTGTTGGAGTGATATTGAGAGTTGCTACGTCCATGGGCCACAGTTCAATCTGGAAGGCAATTCTATCTCCTCCGATCTCGTTCATGTTGCGTTCTCGAAGTGTCCTCCAAAAGGGCCACGTGATAGATGCGCTGGACCAGCAGGGGGGGAACATACCGGATTCTGGCAGGGGGTATCGGATTTCGCACCATAGCAAAGGCCAACATTTCGGGGTGTGGTGGCAGACCGCGTTTCCGGCAGATATCGCGCACACTGTGGCACCTGTCGCCCCCCTCCCCCATTGTTGTTATTGGTCAAAAACCTGGTCATTCGCTGTGTGGATCAACATTGGGTGTGGAGTGGAGCGCCAGGGTGCGGGCTCGACCGTGCCATCCACCTGCGCCCTCCCTCGCCTCCGGTCCTCTTGCCTCTGTCTTGACACCGGGTCCAGGTTGGGGAAGGAGGAGAGAGTGCGGTAGACGCTATGCAGGCCTACTATCACTATAAACTAAATCACGCGCAAGTCACCGTCTCTGCTCCGCCTTGCTGTGGAGCACACGATGAACGTTGTCGGCGACGACGATCGAACTGTTTTGCGCTCGAAGGGATGAAGAATGTAGGGCCTAACAAAATGTTGTAGGCATGGCGTTTCGTAGGGTGCTCACGTGATTATTTGCGTAGTGGAGTATACCCAGGTTCGGCGTTGTTCATTGCAGTTTGATCCACATCTACGATAAGGTTTTATGAGCTCCGGGTAAAGCTTTCATAGGAAGACGGTGGAATTCGCCGTGGAGATGTGATAGCGTGTCATCTTGAAACCTTCAGGACGAGTGAAAGGGCAGACTGTGTTTCAAAATTGCACTTTTGAGGAGCAAGGTGCGCATTTAGTTTGAGTCAAAAATTTAACGAAAACAAAGTTCCCATAAAAAGACGGCATGAAACACAAAATTCTCGTTTATAATCTTTACAAAATATCGGGCTGAAACGAAAATTTGATCCGTTTTTATCTTGTGGAATAATATAAAATAAAAACTAGTGTTTTTGAGGGCATTATAAAACACAGTAAAATAGTGCAAATACAATGAGTGACCGATCACGTGAAATGTTGGCTGATATTCTGAAATGTGTTTTCGACTAAGCAGGATTAATAAGGTAGCATTTCAACATTACTTATCATATTCTATAATCCCATAGTATTTCACACCCGCCAGGATGTCGGCTTTTGAATGCACTTCTTCCTGATCTGCGCAGAAAGTGTATCCGGTAAAAAATGACTACTTAATTAGCATGTACTTTTCCCGTTGATTTTCGATGGCCTTGCAAATTTAGATATATTTTATAGAAACCACGACCAAGATATGCTTTCCTTCTGTGGCTTGATAAAGAATCACGTCATCTTTATACTTCATACTCGAAGAAGGAGTATAATCAGATTTGAAAAACGGCTAGATCGCAGTTGGTAGCTCGGACCCGCATTACAGGTGGCTGGGGGGTTTGTTTACTGGGGTTATTTTGTGGTGCTCCATAATCACATCTGACACATTTGGCTTCCGTTTTACGTTTGAGGTTAGGATTAGGGTACCGGTTAATGGTTTCCGATTTTCGGGTTAGGGTTATGCCTTTAGGCTTAAGTTTTCGGGTTATGGTTAGGGTTTGAGCGTCCGAATAGGTTCCAGTATTACGGTTAGGCTTCCCAGTTACGTCTATGTCTAAGGGCTACGGTAGCGTTTACGATTTCGGTTAGGGTTGCCGTTAGGGTTAACGGTAACGGTTGAGGTTAGGGTTAGGGGTAAGGTTGGGATTAGGGTTAAGGTCGCCGTCCGCTTCCCATTCCCGGCCACCAACTGCGATCTAGTCTTAAAAAAATTTCCAATTCCCTAGTAATTTTAAGCCTGATCCATTGTTGCATTAACGCTTGATGATTTCATTCTACAAGTTGCATGCGCTCCGCGAAAAGAAACTCACATTTTCTTCTATGCCCCTAAAAACATGCCATATAAAGTCAATAAACGTTTGCAATGGATACGGACTACGTTGTTACATTTCATGACTAGCAGTGATAAATAGACAGGTTCGATGCTGTATGAATGGACATTGTGCAGTCTTAAAAAATCTCATGGTTGGTTACTTTTTTTAAACCTAATTATACTTCTTCTTTGAGTATAAAATATGAAGATAATATGATTCTCTATCAAGCAACTGAAGGAAAGCATATTTTTGTTCATTATTTATACAAAATATATTTAAATTTGCAAGGCCATCGAAAATCAATGAGAAAAATGCATGCTACTTACATGTTAATTTTTTGCCGAATACAGTCTCTACAGAAGATTAACAGGCAATGTTTTGAAAAGCTGACATCCTATCGAGTCCGAAATATTAAAGGATTATGCCGCAAGGTAAGCAGTATTACAAACGCGCGTAAGTACTCTTTCCAAATCAAAACACGCATTTCAGAATCTCAGTCAACATTTCACGAGATCGGTCACTCGCTGTATGTTATAGGAAAAGCCGGGAAATATATTTCCGACTCAATGCGCTCATGAGTATTAATATCTTATCCTCATTTCATGTGATAGCAAAGAAGAACGCTTTCGCTCCAGCCTGATATGATGGAATTGACAGAATCATCGGAAGTCGACCACAAGTGTGTGAATGTGCTTAAATCGTCACTTTTTTCTGAGTACGACCGGCATAGCGGGTTGGAAGAATTTTAAATCTTCGGTCAGCATTTTACCGAGTATCAAGAGGCTCGCTGCGTCTTGTGCACACCCGATCGATTTGCGTCATTGCATGCTCACAGCCAATCGTCATGGGGGATCAGGCAGCATTAAAAAATACGTGAATTTTGATCGAGGCGCAGGAATGGCATCGAGCATTTAAGAAATCGATGTGCCGAATGCCCCCTTCCCCCCCCCCCCCTCTTTAAGAAGCCCTACTCGGCCAGGCTGAAGGACAGAGTCCAACCCCAGGATTGGCGACCGCAAAACCAAAGCCGACGCAACCAATGACAGAGACTGATTGCCTTCCAAACTCAAGCATACCCTCCGTGGACGATCTAAGGATGAACTTGGGAACCGGACCGTTAGCTCAGAATGGTTAATTAATCTTCATGGTTCTCGCCCTTTTCCTCTGTGGCGCGTGGCTCACCGGCGCATAACGCTTTGTGAGACAGAAGTGTTATTTTCACATTACCTGTGGCGGAGTGTACTTCCTAGCTTTCGTAGTGCCCTTTCTGTCGTTTCTCACCTCTCATGACCAAAAGTGCCGCATGAGTCACCTTGGCATTGAAACCTCGAAACGTGATTGGCCACAGCACTATGGGGGTTTCTTGCCTCTAGCTTGCGTTCACTGACGACTACAGGCAGGCATCACTTAGCCGAAGGAGATCTAAGACTGCACTTCTTGATCGCTTCGCAGAAGTTTGCTCCTCTCCACTGAGGCGTCATATTGTCCTGGGGACTCGGTGCGTTTGCAATGGTGGGTGGACATCGGAATAAGTGCCGCCCGTATTACATGGGATCTTGCTCTAAGTTCCAAAGGGTACCTCTTTCAGTGTCCTAACTGTAACCCTAATCCTTGCACTAACCTGCCTGGAATGTAGTGCATAGCCACCTGCCATACGTAGAGGAGGATACTTATTCCCTACTCTGATCGACGATCCGAAGCCTATTCAAAGTTAATGATGCAAACATGCGTGTAAATGGAACTATGGTAGAGGGGCGCTCACCGATCGTTCTTCCGGAACCCACTTGTTCCGTTGTGCCTTACAGGCTGTCTCTCGAGCCCAACCAGTAGCCAGACAGCTGCGCATGATATAGGCAGAATGTTACTACCGACAAAGACAAGGGGGACTGGAATGGCCATTTCTGGCGTATTAGCCGTCGTCAACCAGTCATACCCAACCCCGAAGTGCGGAACACCCGAGGCTCGAACTCGCCACCGGTTAGAAGTCCACGCCTCTAACCACTGGGCCACGAGCCCGTTGCCCTGTCGGTTTCGATCGGGAATATACAGTGGTAGGCGGCGGCGCTCACCGATCCTTCTTGCGGAACTCACTCGTTCCGTTGTGCCTTACGGGCTCTCTCTCGAGCCCAACCAGCAGCCGCACAGCTGCGCATAACATAGGCAGCATTTTAATACCGACAAAGACAAGGAAGACTGGAATTGTCATTTCTGGCTTATTAGCCCTCGTCAGCCAGTCATGCCGGCCCGATCGAAACCGAGAGGACAGCGAGCCCGTGGCTCAGTAGTTAGAGGCGTTGGACTTCTAGCTAACAGGTCGCGAGTTCGAGCCTCGGGTGTTCCACATTTTGGGATTGGGTATGACTGGCTGACGGCTAATAAGCCAGAAATGCCCATGCCAGTCCCCCTTGTCTTTGTCGGTAATAGCATTCTGCCTAAATGGAGCTATGTTGGCGGACTCACGTGCTTCTTTTGGCCACTGAGAAGCCCGCAAGATCGGCCTGTTCGCAAGAGCCCATCCGGACAGAAACAGCCGGACTGGCCTACCTGAGGGATTGTGGTTGGACAGAAAGCTGTTCGCCTCTGACCGGTCCGTTGCGAATGTAATTCGACAAACTGGGGGCCTTTAGTAGGTGGGCGCCCTCTTTAAAATGCCCAGCATTTTACCAAAAGATGCACTTTAGTGTCACTTTGTGTCCAGACAACAATTCAAATGGGTCAATGTGAACTAAACTAAAGTAAAAGGCCTCTTGAAAAGGTCCGGAACGCAGGAGAGGGTAAGAAGGCACACCCCTGGGCACACTAGTGCGTGGGCGGGGACGGGGGGGGGGTAGAGGGCGGAAAGAACAACCAATCGAGGAAGAAGTAAACGAAAAAAATTTTCTAGGCAATAAGTATAAAATAAACTGGAGTTGTTAGGCCTTCCGCGGATGCCGTGGTCGCTGACTAGGTGGCGCGCAGACGTCCTGACGCTCATCTTCCACCGTTTCGCACGCCTGTGAGTCCTGTGTCCTCCGGACACGAAAGGGGGCTCTATGCGGACAACGGGGTAGTCTGCGTGCCGTCTGCGTTTCAACCGGCGGCGTTTCAAGCGACTGGGGCTCTGAACAAGCCGGGGGCAAAGCCGTGGAGACTTTTCGACAACGGGGGATCTTTGTGTGCGCTTGCTCACTCTGGCGGAAGTTCCCTGGACACGCGCTTGACTGACTCGATGATATTGAAGGCTGAGGCAGTAACTGCTTGCTGGAGCCACGGGGACTGTATTTTTTTCTGGGGACCTTAGGTCTACTTCGGCTGCCACGCACTGGCTCGGCTTCTTTCCGCGCTTCTTCCTCTTCCTCTCGGCCACCATCACCCTCATCATCGTCGTTGTCGTCATCTTCTTCTTCTTCAGCGGTGGTGGTGGGCATTTCGCTGTTTGGGAGGGGTCCGTTTCCAGACAAGCCATTCGTAATTGAATGCTCGGGGTGACTAACAGTGGTGGTTGTGGTGTTGATCCCGTCCGACGGGCTGCTGACAGGTCCCACAAGATTCCCGGTCTGGGAGGCCCGGTCGCTTCGAGTGCTGTGACGTAAGACTGCCTCGGCCTTCAAGCTATCGGCCCTTTTCTCCCCGACCAGCTCATCCATTCCGCTCCCACCATCCGGCTGAGGTTCCAGCCTCTGCAGACGCGATTCACTACGGCCTTCGGAAGTCCAAGAGCTTCGCTGACTGGTCAGCTCTATTGAAAAGCGTTTCCCTGTCGCGTCAGATTCGCGAAGTACGATAGAGCTTCGCCCCGGTGGAGCTAGCAATGACGGTGACGGAACCCTTCGTCCCTCCAGGGATTTACGAACTGCCAACAACTCGGTAGGGCTGGACTGCGACCTGGAGGACCTTGAAGTCCTTCCTAGGGAAGTGACAGGGTCAGGTGAAAGTGATGGGGCAGGGTCAGAATCAAAGTCAAGAGCTGGACTGAGGTCCGCAGTTTCTGTTTCAATCACGTAGGGGATGGGAGATGCCAAAATGGCCCGAGTTTCTTTAGACTCTCTGAGCGATGAAGATGACCGTCTACTCTGACCAACTTGATCATCCGGGGGCCCCGGCCTAAATTGCACCAGCTCTTCGGGCATCTCGGATCCCTCCTGATGAGTGTCCTGATGTTCAGCCTCATTGTCAGGCTGTTCAGGCCGAATTTCTGATGTAGTACGAGCGTTCTCAGTAGATTCTTCGACAGAGGAAGGAACCGTTGTGCCAGTGGTAAGGGCCTCGGAAGGGTTGAAGTCTCCGAGTAGCATTTGTACTGCGGGCGACTCCTCTAATGAGGACTGGTTTAAACGCAGATCACGCCCCTCGCTTTCCAGACTAGCATTTTTGGAAGCCTTCATGCCCAAAGCCTGCCCTCCACCGCTGGCACTGCTTGACTTCCTGACGGGATTCCTTGCCATACTGATCGAATTTCGATCAAGCACTCCGTCCGGCATGCTGCCGAGACTTTCTCTCCCCTTCTCAGAATCGGTCGAAACAGGCATCGGCACGTCGCTGAAAATATTTTCTCTAGTTTCTTGCCTCGAGGCCACGGACTCTTCGGATTCAGTTGAAATGCGGGTAGATGCTTCATGCGATAGGCAATTACAACCGCGTCCGAATTTCGCAGCAGACACTTTTGAGGGGGAGGGGACAGGGGAACCAGCACTGACTGTTTCGTACTTCTCCGGTTCCTTGGAATTATCTTTGCTTCCATCAGGTGTGTCCGTGGGAGCGCTGGAAGTCCCTGCAGATGGTGCCGGTAGAAAGCTGCAGCCTCGTCCTCTCAACGAGGCTAAAATGCCCTGTTTGGTGTCCTGCCATTTTGTACTGCAGGTTGTTATCATCAAACTAATTTTACTTGGTTTTAGGGAAGCACGCTCCTCCCCTAGCTCTGTCATGGTTGCAACCTGTTTCGAGGAAACACGTCTGCTTCCGTCTGATGATTGGATTTTGTCGGCTGAAGGAGGCTGTTCGTAGGCTGGTGAGAAGGCTGCCTCAGTCGAACTGCCAACACTCCGTCGGTCGGTCGAAACTGATAGTTTAGCTGACATGCGAACCACTGTTGCTTTACTGGAAACATCCTCCATCGGGGTCACAGTTGCGGATGGCTTTTCCACGTCACTCGTTGTCAAACATTCTCGAGCATCCACTTCCGTCCTTGGTGGCAGCGGTGTTAACTTCGGCTCCCATGTTATCTCGCACTTTTGTTCGTGCAGTTCGGTATCCGGATGATCCTCCCATTTGCACTCCTGTTCGGGAATTTCCGCCTGACTGTTTTTGTCTGGAGTTTGATTGGTCAGACCTGGTGTTTCTTCCCCGACGTAGCTTCGGTCCATTCCCTCGCTCAGAGACTTCGCCGATTTGGCCTCCTCTCCCTTGGAAAAGTCATTTGTGTTTTGGCTATCGGTTGCTGTCTCCCCGTTTGTTTGGGTCTGAAGTTGAGGAGAGAGCCGTTGGCAATCAGTATGACAAGCCTCTTCCACAACCACTCGTATACGCTGATATCCCGAGCGAATTTCGTTCATCAAACTCTGGATGTCTTGTCCAAGTCGAGATATGTCACATTTGCCGGGGGACGATTTATCGTTTGGCTCCTCGGAAGGAATCTTAGTCCCATTTTCTTGGTATCTTACTCCTCGTTGCTCCACGGAATCTGCTGCATACACCGAACGACTTCCACGTGCTCCGATCCCCTCATCTGTTCTCTGCGGCGTGTCTTCAATAATTACCCCTGATGCGCGATTTACTACAAGAGATGGGACGAAGGGGGTTTCCAGCCCAGGCAACTCCCTGTCCCGTGTGCCTGTTTGCCCACTTGAGAAAGGGAGGCCTTTGTCCTGCCCAGGAAAGGAAACAGCTGGAACTACTTTACTCACCTCTTCGACGTTTTTTCGTCCTGGAGCGCTTTCATGCCGAACCGCAACGTCAGAATTAGTGGCCAGCACCCGATGAAGCAGTGAGGTGACTTCTACGTTTCCCCTTTGAACATCGTCTATCAGTGAACGGAGGCTCTCCTTCACTTTTTGCACGGTCTCAGGAGAGAGAGTTCCCCGACCGAGGGCCTTCATGATTCTATCTTCAACATGCATTCCCTTCCTACTTTCAGCAGGGGTCACTCCCACTTTGCTGTCCCGAGCGTAAGGTTCCCTAGAGGGGGGTAGGTCCTCTAAGGGAAGATCTTCTGGGACACCGGCTTCCAGTCTGCGCTGAGCATCCCCTGTCCTTCCGTATGGGGCAAATTTCTGCTGAATCAGAGATAAAAGTTCAGCCCTGTCGTCGTATACCTGCTCCACCAAAGTTCGCAGACTTTCCCTGACTCCCTCTAGCACATCCGAATAGCCGCTTTTCCGAACAGAGAAGGGCGGAATATTATCATAAAGACCGGAATGGCTCCTGGAAGTCAGGTTAAGAGCGCGAGGTAAGGGCTGACCAACTTGACTTGTTAGCTCCTCTGCCGTCTTCCTCCGATCTCTTCCACAGCAGTTAACAAAAACCCCCTGTTCAGACGACTTTCTTCCCAGATTTTTTGCCTGTTCTAGGTCGGGTTCTGAAATCCTTAGAGGCCGTGGCCTCAACATCTCATGGGCACCAATATCAGATAAACGTTCGTCTTGACAAAGAGGGTGATGGAGGCGCGTGTGATCTGGTGAGAATCATGGCGATGTCAGGGGTCAGTCCATTTCGAGGGACCGTTTTTTTCTGATGTCTTCTGGACGTTTTAAGAGCCGCGGGCACGTTCCACGTGGATTTATTCGTGTTTCTTAGTCACACATGCACGACCGTACGCGGTAATCGATTGGCGTAGTTTAAGTGCGCCTACTTTAGGGTGATCGTACTCTGACAAATGGACGTGTCCGCTATGTGGCTATTCGGGCTTCTCGCAGAATTCCTGTCCTCCTGTGACGAAGAAACAGCCTGGAAGTCAACCGACGGTGTGCAAATATCGCGGATACAATAGGGCGACATTAAAACAACTTCAAAGCATTCTACTTTGATGGGAATTTCCGAAGCATCAGTAGCTTACGAATCTCGCAACAAAAAGATGTCGATCTTCAACGATGCCGAGACTGTTCACTAGAGACGAATTCGTGTTGGTCAGAGAATGGCTATTCAAAGCATCGATTCCTGAGAGGACTGTGGGCTTGATTCACATGGAATTCTTTTTTACAGGATTGCGTTTCTTCAGTTTGTTTCTTCGATGACATCTTGAAGAGGATCCTGTAGTTTTGATGGGAGGTCGGTAGTGAAAAAGGTTGAAGAGGCTAGAAACGAGATAGGATATGACGGGGACACTGAAACGAATGTTTATGAGTCCATAAAACACGTGCTCTGGCCAGCAAATCCTCACGCTGCTGTATGTTCTCGAACGTATTACCTGCACGAGCCACCCAATCAGAGCGAGCCTGCCCGTAAACGAAATACCGACGAACATTTGTGCGTAACTTCTGTGCCTGCGTTCTCATGGGAAACCGAGTCGTGACTAAAAATAGCTTCTAACTACTGATTTTCTCCGTTGTGTTTAAAACCGGACTTAATGCTCTTCGTGCTACAGTCTCGACGATTTTTTTCCAATGATCTACACGCCAGACGTTAATTGGTTGCCCGCGCACACCATAATTTCGTCATCTGCTCTCATTGGCTGCGACTTTCCATCGACTTGTTGCACGTACGCACACCCCAAAAAATACAAGACCCATCTCGTCGCTTTGTTTTACACGAACTCCAGTCTTCTATGCTGCGGTCAGAGCTTCGTCGGACACAGGACAGTAGCAAATTAGGATGTCTCGACTCCAAATCGGAGATGACTCATTAGAATGCAAGCGGTAGTGATGGATGCAGCTGAAGTGGTAATCTCGAAAGGCGGATGCGCTTGGGTAGACCGCTGGAATTCGAAAGACAAGACTGTCCAAGCATTCAGTTGTCAGCGCGTTGTATGTCGATAAAGGAACGCCGAGAACCTGATCGAGTTCATGGAAGCGGTGTGCCCCAGATAACCTCCCGTGGAAGTGTAAAAACGTTGCTGTCAGTCATATCAACTAACTCATCCACGTGGACTCCAACACTACATACTTTGTTTCGTTTTTTTAACACTTTTGAGTGAGTTCGGCTACTAGATATGGACGCTACTGCCTGCAACACTGCCAAATTTTGCCCATAGAAAAGCAAGACTTGTGAATTCCGTCGGAATTCACAAAGGAGCGGAGTAATTTGAACGAACGAGTCATGGTGCTACATGAGATCTTGAGGCGAACGAAGGAAAGCTTGCAGCACAATCGACGGGAAATCCGCGCATTATTCAGGATGCTGGGGGTTACTGCGCACCTAGGGGTGGACTATACTGGCATGTAGTGGAAATGAACTTGTGATTCTACGTTACGATAATAATAATAATAATAATAATAATAATAATAATAATAATAATAATAATGAAAAAAAGCCTTTGGATGCGCAATGGGTGGATGAGGATGGAAGTGAGAATTACCGAAGCCTTTAAACAGATCGATGCTAAACTAACCCTTCCGTAGTCAGCATGATCGCCAGTCTAGAATGCGATTGAACGCATTTGGGAGTATTCAGGACAAAGAAGCAATCCGGCACAGCTTTCGCCCTACTTGAAATGCCCGGAAGTTGATTTGATCCAAACCCCGAACGAAATATCCATCACATTTTCCGGCCGAAAGCGTACTTCAGAGAATTAGTCAGGTGGCTGCGAAAGCATGCTCATCACCTGACTGGTCCACCAATAGGCATGCACGCATTCACTTGCGACCTTGGTGACGCGATAGCCAAGAGGCGCTGGCAACCAACCAGCTTGCAGCAACGATTGGAGGACGAGGCTCCAATCTAGACTCGCCTTTCTTCGCTAGTAGGGAAGTAGATGGCCACATGTTGGACCAAATTTAGGATGGGGGGAAGTGAACACTTTTTCGTGGTAGGCGTGGTTCCTCCGGCACTAAGCTACAAATCAGGGTATGAAATGGGAACAGGTGCCCCCAATAGTACAGCTAACCCTGCGCCAATTACAGGGAGCTAGGATAAGCATACGGAACAGGTGCAAAACCACGTGTCATGGGGAGTGCACTCCAAACCGGTCCTGTGGTAGATGCGCTGCAAGAACGTTGGGCTACATTGGAGTCCGGCGGGCGTCGGGGATACTCACCCAAAACAAATGCCACTTCTAGTGATGTAGTCGCACGCCCATTTGCGGGTCCATGACGCGCCATACGGAATCTCTAAAGTCCCCCATTTTCTTGGTATATAAAATCCTGGTCAGCAGACTTTGTGGACTAGGGGCTGTGTAGTGAAACGCCTTGTTGCAGGGCTCGGCCGTACCATCCACCTGCGCCCTCCCCCGCCTCCGGCCATCTTGAGTCTGTCTTGACACCGGACAAAGACTGGGGGAGAGAGAGTGCGGTAGATGCTGCGAAAGTCACCGTGCCTGCTTCACCTGGCTGTAGAGCACACGGTGGACATCGTCAGCAACGACGGTCAGCCAGTCGTACCTGCTTCATGTCGCATCCTGCTCAGGAAGTTGTAATCTTTACAACTTTATGCTGAGGTTGTTCTATGTTCCCTTAGGTGTCTAAACATAGTGAACCAGTTGGACTATTAAAAACAAGGAAATGAAGGAAGAGGCCCATTTATCAAAAATATGTAGCAGACTCGGACTTTGGTATTTGAAGGGGGAATGCATGTTTCCTGTGTAATCCTTGTTGCAACCGTTTGGCGAGCAAATTTCAAGGAGAATTAACAAATATGTGCGTGGCTCAATAGGAGATTACCGAAAGAGGAAGCAACTGCTTTGTCCACAGTGTGGTCATGGATGAAAGTGTTCTTTTCACATGAACGGCCCTATAAATAAGGATAGTACTAGATTTCCGGTCACGGAGAATCCTAGGCTCATCTGAAAACGCGAATTGTATTCCCTCAAGGTCATGATTAGGTGCGGTGTAATACCCAAAGGCCTCGTGGTAAGCAGACAGGACGGGAAACAACTTTTTGTTTAAACAGACGAGGGAACAGGGGGCTTAACTTTGCGAAGAACTTGCGGCGTTAGTGTTCAATTTCTCTTAGTACAAATACGAGACGGGCGTATTCCCAGCTCCACCTCCCCGCTTTGCAGTCGTGAATTCCCTTGTAACCTGTCTGCAGTCCCGGGGTACTGAGTATTTAAAATACCCTGTTCCGTAAAAAAAGGATCCGTTCGCAGATTTAACATTGCCTATGTTGGATTACCCTTTCGTTGGACTTTGCTGTGGTTAACGAAAATTTCACCCTGTCTGTCCCTAAAAAGAGAGCAATACTTGTTGTAAATGGCTCGTATGTTTCGCTAAAAATTGCTAAGTGGACTTGTAGTACGGAAGCATTATGGCTGACCACAAGATCACCGGGCTCTCAAAGCCTCGATATCTTAACGGTGTATCGTCCCCCGATAAATGACCCTGAAGCTGATGCCCAATTGCTAGGTGAACTTAAATTATTTTCTACACGGCTGAATACTTTCATCGCTTGAGACTTCAGCGCACCTCACACGGACTGGAACTCGGCCTCCAGTGACCGTTCTGAAACAGCATTCTACCAACAGCTTCTCGCCCAACACGTAGTGTTTCCGACGAAAGTTCGTGTGGGCCGACAGATGAACTGCCTCGAACTTGTGTTCAATAAGTTGTCTGACAACATCGAGGTTGTGAATTGCCCCCCCCCCCCCCATTAGGTCACAGTGATTATGCAGTTCTCATGTGGCGATAAACCTTGTTCTCCCTGCCGGCACAACTTCTTAATTCCCGACCCAATATTTGGCGTGGCGATTTCAAACAGATGAAAAATGATCTTCTTCCTGTTGACTGGGCATCCAAACCCTCCAGCGATATCGACGAGGTTTGATGTCAGCTCAAAGTGATATTCCATAGCCTCATCTCCATTCGCTGCCCAATCATGCGAAGAAGACCAACAAGCAGACTCCGCTGATTGACTCCATCTTTAAAGAAGGAAGTTAGCAAGCAGAGGAATTTATGGAAAAGATCCATCATTGATCGGATGCTTGAATTCATAAACAGTAACAAGTTACTGAGAAACCGAGTCAAAATTCTCATCGCCAGAGATCGGAAAGTCTTCGAAAAGGATCTTTTGAATCGTGCCATGGTTAATCCCAAAGTCCTTTACAGCTATATAAGACAGAGCACACGGAACAAAGACCCCATCCCATTGCTGTGAACGGTCGAGGAAACGGAAAACTCAGATGACAAGGATAAGGCTGAAAATCTCTCCCTCTCTCAGTTCTTTCGTTCCTTCGTAACGGGTGAACTTGTAAAGACAAAGAAACGCCCGCCGTTGGAACAGTCCTCTTCACAGAAACAGTCGTTCAGGAAGAGTTGCTGAACCTGAAGTGGGTGAATTACATCGTCACTCAAACCAACACTTAACTGCGCGAAGGCGACTAAATCGGTTATGGCTACACTGCAATTCGTTAAGCGAGGCTTTATGGGATTTAACCTTGACCGCCTTTCCAAAATATTTGGCACCTTCGTGCGGCCGCATCTAGAATACGCCATACAGGCATGTAGACCTTCGACTGTCC